ACCTATATATATATATATATATAAATAAACAAACATTTTATAAAGTAGATATTATCGACACGAAGTCATCAAATGGACAATTATGGCTGAAGTTACTATGATTTGACTTGTTTAATGAAGATGGTAGAATGCATCTGATGGGTGCGATACCATGGTTTCTACGGGGGGTTTAATTTGCGCTGCGGACGTCCATTTGGCGACCGATGGGCTATATAGGAAGTTGCACTCCTCTTTCAAAACCACCTAGAAGACAAGGCCTGAACTTTCCTCCTCCTTAGACGTCATTCCTGCATGGATGGATAGATGGATGAATAGATGAGGCTTAACCCTTTGAATCGGGCAGCAAATAACACCACCTAGCCATTTTTTCTTTTTTTTTTTTTTGTGGATACACGCTTAGTTTGCGTCGAATCGACTCCAATGCGTCTTGCAACGGCTGGCACGCGGCGACGCCAAGAAGGACTTGTCTATCGCTTCGCGGAGTCTCTTGTCGAACATCACCGTGTTCGCCGCTAGGGTCGGGGTTCCACAAACGATGAGGTAAGGCCTTGTCTCGTTGGTGGTATTCGTTGAGCGTCCATTGCCCTCCACGAGTGCAGTGGGGACGATATATGTCGCAGAAACCGCTGGGCTACGCTGCATGGTTTTGTGGGTAACGCTACCGCAGCACATCCGATCTGCCATTTCTTTCAGGACCAGGCGGAAGAAGTAGACCTCATCCAGCGTCTCTCATGGACGCATACGACCGAACCCTTTAGATCGGGTGACGTCTGGCGCCATCTATAGCCAGCGCATGCGCAGAGGGAGCGGCCGATCTCGGGACTGCCACGCTTTGCTCCCTAGGTTTAACAGCCTCGTTTCAAGCACTGGGCTTATTCTGTTCACACCTAAGCCAACAGGGCGGTGGAAGGTATAGTGTGCTCAACTGTTAAATAATGCCCCTGAATGAGAAAGATGGTGACATCTCCCTTCTGCTTTGACGCACACACCTTTTATCTTTATGCTTTGCTCTTTTACACCCGCGCATCGACTGACGCCGCCTAGATCGCTCCGAGATAGCAAACGGCCTTCCTTATTTGGTTTATACTTGAGTCAGAGCGGCAGTCAAAGGCTGGAAGACACGCAAATGCATAGACACAGGTTAAAAGTGCACTGTCGCAATCTACCAGCCGCGAAGGATGTGCTCAAAGAAAGACGAAAGCCGTGACGTTGCACAGTCGGCGTTATTTGATTGGCTACATGAGCTCATAGCATGCACTGCACTCCGACAGCATAGTCATTCTGTCTCCCTCCTCCTAATCCCTTATGCACACTCTTATTGTTATATTTAACTCTTTCGCGCTCGCGCGTAAAGTCCCTCTACTCGCGCGTCGAGTTTAGCGCCGCCTGGATCGCTCCAAGATAGGAGGCGGCATTCTTCCAAGGATGTCGGTACTTTTCCGTATACAGGGGCTTTACTGTTAAACATAAAGGCCCGTTCACACTCTTGCGACTTCTTGCGACCTCTTAAACCTGGGTTCCTTAAAACTTCTTAAACCAGAGAACACACTGGCGCCATCTGTTGGGAAGCAGTGTAAACTCGGCGGTCCGGCATATTTTTTTTTTTATTTCTCGCGCAATATCCTTTCTTTTTTGGCTCGAAAAACTTTTGTCAATGTTATAAACGAGCCTTTCTATGGGTATTACGCACATTTGACCTCGGAAATCCCGCAAAATCTTCGCTTTTGTGAAATGCAGTTCTAGGGTCACCGCATAGATGGCGCCACAATGTCAGTGTGTTCCCTCATTCTAGAAACATTTACGAAGTTGTAAGAGATCTCGTCTCAGTCGTACTCGGTCGCAAGAGTGTGAACGAGCCTTAACGCGGGAGCGGTGGACGAAACTGATAGCAGAGCTGTCTATCGATTAAATCAATGATGCGGCAGAGAATAAGCCGGCTCTTCTTGGGATTGTCGCCACTCCCCGATACAATTATCGCACGACCTCCTCGTTCCTTTCTTTATCACCCACGCTTTAAATTTGTACTTGTTTGTTTTGTTCTTTTTTCCTGTCTGTTTAGTCACATCTACGCATTTCCCATGCCGGGCTACCATATCTCGGTGATCTTGCAGTTTCTCTAATAAAGGCCACCATCTTTAAACAACACCAAAAACAATCAAAAAGCGATTTTTTTTTTATCGCCGACTCACGCATCGGTGATTGTTTCGGAGCTGGGAGTGTAACTCCAGAAAACAACAGCGGCATAAGCTTCCAGAGGGTCGATGGCGCATGCAGTCTCTCCGGCCACCGCTCCGGCGTTATGTTTAAGAGTTGAGTACACTGTACGTGCTCGTTGAACCAGTTATACATCACCTATAATTTCGCCGCGGGATCACTTTTCCGCCCATACCCACGCTCAGAGAGAGGATGATGAAAAAGAGGCATTGTGTTGTTTATACACCGGGAAGTTAGTCAGCCCCAACAGACGTCTAATGTCTCTGCTAAAAATAAATTAAGAAAGAAGCCAGTGCTGTATTATTATTCGCCTGGGGTGCATCACGCAGTAGTGACATACGATTTTATGTCGGTACGATGTTTCAATCAGATCGAAACGGACAAGGGTGAGTAGTGAACGATCGAACCCAGGCACCCTGGGTTTCGAAGCGCCGGCTTTCGCTCTGCGTGCTTCGAGCTGCACTGCGTTAGCACGCTCGGCAACCGATCCCCCATAACTACACCGCGCTTTTTTCCGCTTTACACCCAATTGTTTACAAACAGTAAGCCGTCCGTGTGTGCGGTGGTCGTCGGAGCAGTCATACGTCTATTTTTTTACCTCCAAGTGATCGCGCTCCCGCTTATGCCCACGCTCAAAAAGAGGGGTCATGTGATGAAAGCGACGCCGTTGATTAATCCGGCGATCGCGTACCTCCCACCGCGCTGTTAGCTTAAAAGTGAACACAGTATGGCGAGGCGCATGCTTTAAACAAATATAACACGCGGGGTATCTATCGGAAGGATTAGCCTTTGCCCACGACAGCGCGATGCCTTCTTCAAAGCGATATTGTCGCTCAGCGAAGAACAATGGAGATATTTTCGGGGTCCCCTAATCGGCTTCCCTGGAAAGCACTCGGTCGCAGTAAAACGACAGAAAAGAAAAATTCCCTCTTCCTTTTTTTTTTTTTTAAATGATTTAGGCTTTGGCTTCAAAGGCAAAGACCGCCTTTGGATTCCCGCCGAAGCGTGAAAGGAGTCCTTTTTGTCTAGATAGATTAGGGTATATTTATAGAGGCGGTCAAATAGGGCAGCTCATTTTACGTCGGCTTGGTCCCTGAGCGTGGGGTGCACCGTCAACGTTTGCGCACGGCCCCATGCGATTATGCGAGGGCTTGGTTCGTGTGCGGCGTCTGCAAAGTCTCAACTGACCGCGTAGTTGAGAATAATTCGAAGGAGCTGGACACGCCCTGAGAAATAGAAGCCGGTTAGATCACAATATGTGTATAGATGCTGAAAAGCGTCGTGTTGATCTCGACGCGAGCAAGAATAAACGGATCTGCCTCACTCTAGTCGAAAAATATTTGAGGCCTCGAGCCACTGGATCGGGCCGGTGTGCGGACAAGCGCAGAACGCCAAGTGTAAAATTGCTATTTAGACCCGTAGATGAATATTTCCCGTTGCAACAAGATCTGTAGAAGGATCTGCGCCCCCCCGAATGCTCTGTGAAAAACTGCTTTCCGCATAAACACTCACAACATTAAAAAAAAAAAAAACGCAAAGCGTACCATAAAAAAAAGTGTAGCCGTTACACCATTTGTCACAGATAAGACACCCCAAAACTTTATTTTGGGGTGTCCTATGTGCGACAAAAGTTGGTGCCTTTACGATAAGCATCAAGCTTATCGTAAAGGCCCCAACCTTTACGATAAGCTTGATGACGGTGGAATATAGCATATTAAACAGCTAACGTACGTATCAAAGACTACAAAAAAAAGCATTAAGGTTTTTGCAGTAGTGCCAAAAAAAAAACTCATTACTTATTTTTGCACTTAGTCACACGTATATGAGCTACTTTAATAAGTTGTACAACTCGCCCCGCTCGTGAAAGTTGGTATCAGCGGTTCAATGTCAGTGCGCTGTACGTCGAACTGAAGCTTTGGGATGTCTTATATGGGGCAAAGGGTGTAAAAATAACCCTTTATTTTCCTGTGTGGACGGAGCTTTCCTTTGAGAAGGCAAGTGTGTTCTGCAGATCTAAGGTTGCAGCTAAAGTCTTTGGGTACAACCAACAATGGCACTTTCTTTTATGCATCCTGGGGCCCTAATCTACACGGCGGGTTCAAGAAGGACCAAAAAATCGGGACATTGCAGCAGGCAGCGATGCCCCAGTTTCTTGGTCCCTCTTGACCCCGCCATGTAGATTAGGGTCCCTGCACGTTGTTTCAACTGTACCGTGGGCCACAGCGTATGCTACGAGCCATAACTATACAGGCCAACTCATTGCCTGTAAACAGGCCCTTGTCCACGAAAGCCGTGGCCACTACGCATGCGTAAGAAGCCGTTTTTTTTAAAGCAAACCATCTGCGCATGCGCATGTAGTGATATACAATTTCTTGGAAGATAAAATACGCAGCAGAAGCATCGCCTCCAGCGTGAAGAGCCTACCGTCGATATTTAGTGAGCATGCGGAGGCAAAGCATGACGGAAGGCGACCAGGACATGCTGGAGGCGGAACGTCTCCTGCAGATTTTGTGTTGCAGCAGCCTATAGATAGCTTGCACTGGCGTCACACTGGCGGCCAGTCTGGTGGCCTTGCTCATGAGCGCGAACGTTCTCTGCAGCGAACATTTCACACCTCCGAATGTGTCTCACTCCGCAAGAACAAGTGGGATTGACCACCAGCATGGTGCGATGGCGTCACGTGCAAGCAGTGTATAGTTGCAAGTATGCGAAGTATTACGAACTAGTCAAGTAAATCGGGAGCGACGACCGTCACCGAAGTTTGGTTCCCCGAACCCTTGATGTACCTTGTTCTTGATGATGCCACTGGAAGCCCGGATGAAGATGTGATGCACCCGGTAGGTCTTGATAAAAATGGCCCCGAAGGCAAGCGAGAACCCTCCAGAGAGGAGGAAGGCCCGAACCTGGCAGAGGGGCGAGGAAGAAAAAGAGACACAGTTAGTTGACTTGGCCGTAAAGCGTGGGCTCGTGAACAGGGCGTCGAACCGGAACCGAACCGAAAATCGGAACGGAACCGTTATTTATAGCCGAACGGGAACTGAACCGAACCGAGATCTTCGCCGCCATTTTAAAACTTAATCGGAACTAAACAGAAAAAAAAAACGGTATTCGGTTCAAGTCGGTTCTAAGTAATTTTTGTTCTTTTTGTTTCTACTACAAAATTAATTATTGAAAATAAAAAATGTGCAGCTGTTTTCTTTGTATTGATCAAATCGTCATATACAGAATTGAAATGTATAAGAAATAATGGGTATTCGTGGCGCTTTTGTATTGCCATTATGAATAATCATGTGCCCCGTGGTCACATGACATCATGGCGTCAAGACATGCTTGTTGTCAAGTAATGTCACCTCTCCTGACTCCGTGACGTCACGTGAGTCACTGCGTACAGTCGATTTATGTTAAGAACGTCACCAGATTTATTAACGTAGTTGACACCGTGACGTAAAATGACGTCACGACTTTGTACCGAGATTCACGTGACACCGTTACGTACGCGATTTTCATGACCTCAAGTCGAGTGCTCGGGTTCATGACAATCAGCATCGTCAAAAATTCGGGTAACGTCTCATGTTCAATCAAAGATGGCAATAGCCCATTTCCAAAAATCCCTGAAGCTCACACCATTCTCTATGCTTTGGCAACCCCAGCGCATGACAATGATAAACACTGACAATATATAATTAGCGTGAGATCATGTGGCTGCTTGTTCTAATTGCAAGTAGAGGAGGAAAAAGATGTTTCCTTTATTTTTTTTTCTGCGTCGTCTATTGTGCGGAGGGGAAAACTAATGGATTTTTTTTTGCAAGTTATCAACGTTAGGCATTACTCAGCGGCGTTTACTGAAAGTCCGAAAATGGTTGCACGACCCATTTTACATGTTTACACATCAATGAGGAACCCAAACATGTTTTCGATGTTGCTGAACTGCCTCAGAAAGTCGTCCCCGAGAAGAGAAGTATTGAAAGGACTAAACGTGACTTATTAATCCCACGTTACATAGAACTAGTAATGTGCACGGGAGGCATGCCTCTAAAAAAATATTGTAGTGGCCTCAGAAGGACAGCCCAACATCGGCAGCCGCTTTCAGTCACAGGAGTGTCGTTCTTAAGTTCTTCCACAAGTTTCGATCACCTTTATATTTTGTTTATAGCCTCACAGTTAGGTGCAAAACAAAAGCCACGGAAGATTAACGTTAACAAGTAGCCAAATATAATTGCCGAATTAACACCCCCAGACGGAGGAGGCAGTCCTTCAGAAATGAAAAGTATTCTCTAAAAAAGCAACGAAAAAAAATTCAAAATAAGGAGGGGTAGGGGGGAGGGTTAATCCTAGAAACACACTATGTTGTAAAGGCCGGTTCCTCTGCCCCGCGTCTTCGGCACGCACCAGAAAGCGTAGCCCCGGAGTCTATTTTTTGCAAAAACTCTCTTGCCAGAAAGCGCGTTTCCGTGGTGCTAGAGGCTCGCGCCGTTCCTCACAACGCTGCACCAAGAAGATTAATATGCACCTCTAAGATATATAGACGCTTTCAGGCAGCTGAGCATGGGCGCCGCCATAACCGACCTTCAGTTTTGGTTTCCACTTATTCCGTTCGCTTCACTTCATCATTGCCACAGTAGGACAGGTTATTGCCACTTCAGGTGCTACTGTGTCCTTCTCCTTAGCATAGGCCTTTGCGAAAGCTCGTCAACGCCCGCTTCATCGACTTGGCCTCTAAGTAAGACAAGAGAGGGTCGGCAATGGCGGCTGAATCTGGCGCGTGTTTAACGCGAAACTTCTGCAGCTTGCATTTTGCACCCCCGGATTGGACGTTCTCACCAAGGACCAATCGCAATGACCACCAGCATATAGTGTGATGACGTCACGTGCATGCCATGTTAAAGGGGCGACGCAATGATTTTTGTATTTTGCGCGAATAACGCTTAGAACGGATCCCTGACGTTAATGACCTGTGGAATACCCGTTCGTTTTTCACCACACAGAATCGAAGTCGCAGAAAAAAATAAAGAAAAACGAGCAGAGTTCACCCCCTCAACTCGCAGCCAGAACAAGCGGCCGCGTGATCTGGAGCCGATTACATGGCGCCAATGTTGATCCTAGCCACGCGCTGGGGTTGGCAGGGCACAGGAAACGCGCTGAGTTCCAGACATTGTTATGGTTTGGCGGTTGTCGTCATTGCCGCGATTGGACACCGTACACTACCCGAATGCTTCTCGAGCTATCGATTATCACGAGCCCAAATCGAATGTCCACGCCATGCTCGGGTCCAATCTATGAGCCGCATTAAAATATCGTCACTCGGCGGTACTGCTACCACCCACCTACGTCATCAGGTTTGGCGAGGGAAAGATTGAATGAAAACACTCGGTTTTGTCCTCGAAATTACAGCCACACAAAGGAGTTTCTTAGTCAGTGGCGTTGCGTGCGAATATCCTTGAGTCCCACTAGTGACAGTAAGCTCGTGTAAAATGAAAAACATTCCAATTGAATATCGTTGCACCGCCCCTTTAAACAGTTCAGCTTTCTGGTGAAATGCGATGCTCGTAACACTTGCAATAGATGTTCCAATTGTAAAGTTATGCTGTACACTCTTAGAAATACGGGATGTATAGGGGTACACTCCTTCCCCCATATGTAAGACTCCGAAACTACATTTGGCCGTTCAGACCACTGACGTCGAGCTGGCGGTGCCAACTTTTACGAGCGGCTTAATAGCTGCTGAATATTACGTACTAAATAGTTAATGTGCGTATCAAAGACTAAAAACAAAACAAAAATAAAACACTGAAGCTTTGCAGCAGGGCCAAGAGATCTTTGACTGTTTTACTGTATCTTTTAATGCGTACTGTGCATTAGCTATTTTAATATGTTGTATCGCTCGACTATCAAGCCGCTCTTCAAATTTGGTATCGTCGGTTCGACGTCTGTGGACTGAACGTCGAATTGTTGTTTTGGGATGTTACATCTGGGACAAGGGGTGTACCCCCTATACACCCCCTATCTCTTAGAGTGTATATAGAGCAGTTTCGCGATGATGTACGGCAGCCTAAATAAATGTTAGAGCGCACGACTGATAAAGCGCAGAGTTGTAAGGTCAGGACCCAAAACAAGCTAATGCCCGTAAAACCGAACATAACATTAGCCTCCCGAGGCAGTATTTTGTGAAGAAGTTTTGAGCGCATTCAAGCTGATGCCCAAATGTGATTTATTTTTTGATTCTGAGAATCTTCGTCTGTCCTTCGCGACATTTAAGTACAATTAGGGATATCAGTGCACGCATCTAAATGTATTACTTTTTGCAGTAAGGCGTTGTGTATAGGATTATTTAGAAAAATACAATTTATTAGTTTCGTATTTTGGCACATTTTATACATTTGCTTTCCGATCTATCACGTGAGTACAAAGTCCTTTTTGACATGCCCTGCAACCCGGTGTTTCACACTGCCAAACAGCAAACAAAAAAAGTTTTTGCGGGCTGAACAGCTGGCGTATTTTCGAGTATCGTCCTCCCGTGTCGGCCTCAAACGGCGATGTGAACGTCATAGAGTCAAATTGATTGACGAAAAACATATTTAATTACTCAGTGATGCTCTGCAAGTCTTTTCCGGCGTTTGTATCCTTGATAGGCACGTGTATGAGTGATTTGGGAGAGCCTGGAGAAAAGTTATGATTTTGACGCTAATTTAAATATTTATGCTTTCCTGACACATATATAACTTCTCAAACTAATAGAAGTCAGTTATTGCCTCTTTTATCTGAGGAACAGAAATTTTGTGGGCTGGACAAAAAAAACTGAAAGCCGTTTACAATTCCCTGTAACGCCGGTTAGAGCGCAGCTCTTGAGGAGGAAGATGGAAGCGTACTGAGGGATAGTTGACTCCTTGAGGTCACGTGACCTCAAGGGGGTCACGTGACTTCAGGGGGTCACGTGACCTAAGGGGTCACGTGACCTCATGGGGTCAAGTGACCTCAGGGGGTCACGTGGCCTGAAGGGGTCACATGACCTTAGGGGGGTCACGTGACCTCAGGGGGTCACGTGACCTCGGGGGGTTCACGTGACCCCCAGAAGTCACGTGACTTCAGGGGGTCACGTGACCTCAAGAAGGCCACGTGACTTCTTGGGGTCACGTGACCTCGGGGGGTCACGTGACCTAGGGGTGTCACGTGACCTAGGGGTGTCACGTGACCTGGGTGGGTCCTCGGGTGGTCACGTGACCTAGGGGTGTCACGTGACCCGGTGGGTCACGTGACCCCCTTAGGTCACGCGCCCTCCAGAAGTCACGTGACTTCAGGGGGTCACGTGACCTAAGGGGGTCACGTGACCTTGGGGGGTCACGTGACCTCGCGGTTACGCCGACGGCGACGGCGACGCCGACGCCGCTCAAGCCGGAAACGGGCCCCAAAGAGCTGCGCTCTAAAACAAGGTACGGGGGCGCGTGGCGGAACTATGACGATTATGTCGACTAGAGCATGCCATACTATTTTGCACTATTTAAAAAAAAAATCATCAATTAGCGAGGGTAAGGAAGCTTATGTGCAAATTGAATTGACCGGCATCTTGTCAAGAACAAGCCCCAGCAGCCAGGATCTGCCAATTTATCCTGTATAAGAAAATGTTCACTTGGCTAAGCGCTATCTTATGCCAGATTCGACCCGAGTATAAGATGCTTATAGACTACAGTGAAAATTTTCGATCACTCCTTTCTGCGTGAGTCTTCTCCTGCATCACGATGCTGAGTGTAAAAATGTTGGTTAGGAAAAGAGGCGTTGTGATTTCCGCTCAATGTTTCTATAAAGGTAGACTGAAATGGCTTGTCCTAAAACTTTCGTGACATTTTGAAAATGTTATTGCATGTAGCCCAGTTGTGTCGGCATCATATATATACATATTGTTAAACGTATTTAGTAAACCTTAGTTCACGATATATATGGCGACATTTGGGGCCCATTTCATGATTTTATGCACTGTAATAAATAATTAGCTCAAGGGCACAACTACGATTCAACTTTTGATACTGCGATGCAAACTTGTACCAATTATGGTACCTTAGGCGACCTACCATACTTTGTGACAAACGTTTGATTCAGGTAAAATAAATGTGACCCTTGTAATCAAATGGATGTTGGGTCGTATAGTCACGAGGTTTTGTATGTTACTCTAAATTTTTTTTTTTACTGTTGCGTCGAGATTAAATAACGGAATTCCATTATTTTGGTACCTGAGAATTAAAGGGGATTGTATGAACGATAAAAAAAAAAACTATATATAGTTAATCGTTTCCCGCCGGAAATAGTCCCTATTGCCAAAACTGCGCGGAAAATGTATTCTCAATTCAGCGGTTCAAACCAGCTTGAACCGGTTTGAACCGTTATTTTGGCTCCCCGGAATTGAACCGAAAGCCGTGAACCCGAACCCGAACCGAACCGATACAAATTTCGGTTTGACACCTTGCTCGTGCATACGGGTGTGTGTGTGTGTGCGTAAAAAGAAAAACCACAAAAAGGGAGAAAGAAAAAAGAAAGTGGAGAAGGGACAATTGCAGGCTACGACGGTGATCCGTCAACTCGCAGAGGACAGCGAGTGACAGAATGTCGCTCACGGCGAGAATCGAAGCTATGACAGACTCTTGCGCCCACTCTGCCGTCTATGCTTGGCTTCACCTCGCGATGGACCACAGAAGACGCTACGAGTCATCTTAGCCAGTCCAGTGTCGTGTGAGTGTCACGTGACATCGAGGAGGGGCGGGGCGGCGAAGTTACGCTCGAATGCCCACAGCGCGTCGCTGTTGTGTATTAGGTGAGTAAGCACAAACAGTGAATACAAGATATGCGTATAGACTATAAAACGCGAAGTGATGAAAGGTGCACCTCATGCTTTTCAAGGTACGAAGCGCCACGATGTTCTGTTCTCACTGGCGTGACGTTTAAAAAAAACACAAATCAAGGTGTCATGCTATTAAAAAAAAAAAAAAAAGGCGTTGTGACATTAATGTTCCTGCAGTTGCGTGTCAAAACGAGTGCCCAGTTTGTTTCTTAAGTTTGAGCAACGACTCTGGCGGACAAAATCCAATATTTTTCGGTCGCGTTTCGGCTGTGCGTCATACGCTCTCTCAATGGACGGATGGATGGATGGATACCGCTGAATCCTTTAAATCGGGCGGCGGCTTGCGCCACCTAGACAAAGTTTCTAATTCAAATGAACTAATCTCCGATTAAGTTCGCAACCAATCGAGAAGGGCAAAATATTCTGATATCGTTGCTAAGTACAAACCTTCATCTACAATTCTCCACGAAACTTCATCGCAAGTGTGAGAACCGACATTTACGACGCCGGTCCGATAGCCTCTGCTTGATGATCCCCGCTTCCCCAGCGTCTATTTTTTTTCGTCGCTGTCTTTAAAGCTCAAAGCCTTCACTGAATGATTGAAAATAAAAATAACTCCAACCAATCCCTTAAAACTAGGGGCCAACACTGAAAAAAGCCCGTGCGTCTACTTTCCCGCACATCACTCGGAGAGCCAATCACCGCAACTTACAGAGGCAGCTCAGCGAATGACAACGCCGAAACATGTGTTTAGACAAAAAAACAAAAAAAAAAAAAAAAAAACGCAGTCCGAGTTGTGCAGTTGGAACATTAAGCAATGTAAAACGTCACGCTTGCATAGCTTAATGTCACAACTCGGACTGTGTTCTTTTTTTTTTTTTTGTCGAAACATATATGTTTCGGTATCGTCATTCGCTGAGCTGCCTCCGTAAGCTGCGGTGATTGGCTCTCCGAGTGTTGTGCGGGAAAGTAAACGCACGGTTTTTTTTTTTTTTTGTAGAGTGGCAACCTTTCAAAGCCGACTTGGTTGCTCTTCAGGGACGGCTATAATCCTTTGAAGAGGAGCAACCTTTTCTACGGTTGTGGCTATGTTTTCTTTTTCGTCGTCATGTGGCGTAGAGCGTTTATGTATACCGATGGTAAAGCGCCCAGGGATCAATTGATGTTGCCTGGTGTATTTTGAATGTGCCACGATTCAATAAAAAATCTCTACCGGGGGTCACTCTTGAAGTGAAGTTTTAGGGATTGATTGGAGTTCCGTTTATTTTCAAAGTTTTTGCCCAACCAGACAGATATCTGTCGAATGTTTATCTTCACCAAATCAGTATCGCCTTGAACAACTGCAGGGTGATGCCCTTTACAGCAAAGGATGAAGTGTTCAGCCGTCTCTTTTTCTTCCCCACGTTCCCCACACACCGTATCTATGTCCTGTCAAGTTACTCGCGCTCCAAGGGAGCAGAATTTCATTGGTTGATATACATTTTCGGAAAATAACAAGCACAAAATAACAGCATAAAAAGCAATCTTATCGTTTAGATAAGACATTGAAAGTACGAGCTGCTGTTTTCTGTTGTTGGTAAGGAACAATTATTTTTAGTTTTTTCATACACTTTGTTATTGTGCGTACATGCACGCTTGTAAACTACCTCGAGTTGTGCGTTATTAAACTCTGCAGCGCAACTTTCTGCTCAATACAAGCATTCGTCGCCACGGGATGGCGCCACAGCCCTACCAACCGAAGATCGCCGGCGGAGTGGAGGTACATGGTGGTTAACGGGATAGTGAACCAAAATTTTGATTTCAGAAAAACAATGCAGTAGATGTAGGCGGGACGCTACAATCCCTGCAACACTACTCGTAAGGCGATATCTCGAATGGACGGCAGTATTTTTGGAAAAAGAAGATCGAGATTGAACCAGGCCGACGAGGTGCGTGACGTCAAGATATCTCGTTTCCTCCTCTCTTCGCTTCGCCCCCTCAAGGCGACGAGGCGGAGAAGACGCGAAGCCGTTCCCTCTCCTTTTCGGAGAAACATGACGTAAACATATCTGTCAAATGCGGCTCTTTTTTTTTTTTTAAATACGGTCATCTATTCGAGATATCGCTGTATGAGTGATGTTTTGGTGTTTGTAGCATCCCGTTGCACGCTTTTGCAGCGTATTTTGTGGAATCCAGATTTCGGTTCAGCATCCCTTTAAGGACGTGCTCGCGCACTTGGGCCGAGAGCAGCAGGCCAAGGGACTTTAGGCTCACCGTGCAGAAGACGGCGAAGTGCGTGTCGCTGCCCAGCGTCTCGTGGTCAAGCCCCAGAAGGACGATGGCCAGGTACACCAGCAGGCACCCCACCACCGTCATGTTGTTCAGCTGCGGACTGGACAGCTTGATGTACCTGAGGGCCGTGGTATAAGTTTCGGCCGGTACAAACCAACCCGAATTTCGGGTCACGGAAACCGCGAAGTCTTTGCTACTTCCGCTACCCGTTAAAGGAGGAAAATACGCGATTCAGTTTGGACGGTTTAGACAACCAGCAGGTTGAAATGTTTTTTGTTTTTTTTCGTCACCCGTACCGGATATGCCTACCAGGTGGCTGGAGATGAGAGTACGCGAAACCCTAGCGGAAGCCGCCAAACGTCACCTGTGACGTCACACGACCCGCAAGAACTTTACGGCTTCTGGTACTCGCAAATATGTTACCTGGAACAGGACTCCGACTGGAGTGTCTACTGCGTCCAAAAAAATGTTCCCTCAATTTCCGTATGATGGCGTCATAGAGTTCACGTCACGCAGACGCCGGTTGCGATCCTGGCGGTGTTAACAGCAGCGGTGGTTGACGTGGCGGAAGCCTGTTCTGCTGCAGGTCGCTTTCCAGCTGGACAGACCACGGAAGCTTTGGCGGCCAGGAGTTGGGACGACGCGACGACAGCGACACTCGCGTTCGATCGCGTTTCTTGCCGCAGTTTCTGCGACCAACCACCAGGATTGTGACGTTCGATAGCGTAAAATTCTGGCATTTTGTGACGTAATTTCTTGCCACATCGGGACCAATCTAGATGCACGGGCGGAATATAGGACGCCGAACGCACCAATCGGAGACGGGCTCCCATACTCGCAACCCGGAATCCGGTCTGGATTAGACCGAGCTTTCACGGCAAACAAAAGTATAGAAGGTCGTCGACTTCGTGATGACAAACGTAAAGCGATTGACAGAGACGATAGGATCGTAGGCGAGTTGCGCTGACGCAAATATGCGATCGCGAGATTGAGAGAGGCGTAGATCGATGTCGTACTTGCGTTTGCGGTAGAAGAGGTTGAAGGCCAGAAAGACGACGGCCAAGACCATTCCGAAGACGGCCAGCACAGACACGGAAACGAAGACACTTCGCTGGATCGTCGCCACGCTCAGCTTGACAATACGTCGAGCCACGGGGGGCTCTCCGTCTGGGTCGGTTCGCAAACAAAAGAAAGCAGAAAGAAATAAAGGCACCTCCTGACAACATGAGCAGATGGAAACACCATATCTGATATTTGTGCCTGCGGTCGCAGAAGAATCGCAATTCGTTTAGAGACTGCGTCTTAAACTTCGCGTCTGTACATAACACATTACGTCTATCTACTAGTTACTTTTTTAATAACGAAGTAACGAGTTAGGCAGTTTTCGACATCAGGAACGAGTAACGTATCTTCGTTACTATGCGATAGATTAACCAGTAAAGGTTTTTAGTTATTTGTGGAGAGGATCGTGTATGACGCAAGCTACCCTATTTGGTATTCACACCTGCTCGCGTCTGACTTACGGCAAAAAAGCGGCAACAAAAAAAAGTGGCCCATGAATACGCCAGAAGAATCTAAGCCTTATTAACGACATAAAATATTGGAACGCGGCTTCTGCTTAAAAAAAACCGACATATTCAGAGTAACGATACAGTTAACTCGTTATTTCTGAGCTGAAGTAGGGTGATTTCAGATAAGATCGACCAAAGGGTATGGTCGACATTTTTAAATCAACTGATGTTTTTATATGACATTGTCTAGTGTGTGGTATAAACGAATCCACACTTAGTTTTGGCCAGAAAAAAAATTTGGAGACAAGAAAAATCGTAAGGCTGGGAGAGGTGGACAGTTGCAATAACGCGCACTGATCGAGGGGGCAAGTTTGAAAGTGAATAATTAAAACAATAAAATTAGGAAAATTTTAAAACTTTTTACAAACAAACTATGGGTAAAACTTGCTTGTAATATAAGGTAATAATATTTATTAAAAATTTATTTAGTTTTCTAAAAATTGCCAAACATGCCTGCTCGAACGACAAATGGCAAACTTTGGAAATCTGTATCTCATGAAATAATTTAATCATTATTACATAACTTGCAGACATTATTTCACTAATATATGGCTATTATTGAAAAAATAAATAAGGTATCTGAGTGACACAATAGTTACAATATATTTAGGCAAACATGGGAAAAAAATCAAACAAAGAAAAATTCCAATGCGAATAAAAAAAAAAAAAACACCACCTTCGATTTTTTTAAAATTTGGGTACCCTGTTATACTCTATTTCGGCATTCATTTCTATTAAAACATGTTGCATCATTGCACTGTGAAAGAAGAAACAACTCCCCAAAGTAGGGTCTTTTTTCAAAGCCTACACTTAGCAGTGTCCTATACAAGAAGTGACTCTGAGTTCCAGTTTCATGAAGCTTGCACAAATCTTTTATATACATTTATTAAGATGAGGTCATTGATAAAAAGAGCGATCGGTCACACAGTAAAAGGGAGGAGAAACTATATACAGCATTTTACATAAGCGTACAAAGTGGTATCATATTAGAGACTAATGATTTGAGAAAAGATGATGCAGTGTGAAGTTGTACCTTCCGGTATATTTTACATCTAGAGTAAAATAAATAACTTTACTTCCACACACAAAAACAAAGATATAATAGTAAGATATTTAGGTTGGCTGTGTATTTACGATTACAAACAATTTCAGGTGACGGATGCCATAGTGCCTAACTGGAGCAGCTTCGATGCTCTCGGTGTATGAATGAATCGTGGCAAGCCGATATATTTTATCCTGCTCGAGGATAACATTTTGGGATTTTTTTTATAGTGATCAGATAAAAATTATTAGTAACCACCAACAAAAACAGTAGGTTAAATACCCCGTGAAGAAAAATGTGATAAATAAGATGTCCCTGCATTCAAAATGAGCAGTCCTTGGGAAATCAAATTCGGCACTTTACGCTAAGGTTTTCCTCGCTGTACCCATTTAATAAAGTTGCTTCCAAGCAGATCCGACTGTCCGTGCTACATATACGTCACAGGTCCCTTCTGTTGATGACTTGCTGAGCCGCCACGCGTGCCAAGACTGAATGCCAGGGAAGGCGCGCACCGTCAGCCACTCTTCTTTTTTTTGTTCACGATACCGAACAACCTCATTTTCGTCCAGATATACAAGATGCACGCCTTTCAGTTTCTTTGATAGAACGCTCACCATTGTCCTGGCCGTCTGAATTGCGCTTACTGAACGTTCTCTCAGGTTGTTCAGCGTGGCCTGCTGCTTCACGAGTCCGCCAACTCCGTCACATGCATTTTTCCCATGTCCAGATGCAGAAAATAACCAATCGTCCTTTGCAAATTGGTGAAGCTGGTAGCGATTCTTGAAATGACTGGCGGCGCCGTCACTTACGTACGTCACGTACGAGTATACCGCAACGTTGTCTTCAACCCACTCCTTCACTTTTTCTAGAGCCAAGCAAGCGTGAGCGGCGTCGTGACACAGGTCCTCACTGATGATGGCAAAGCTGTTTGTAGATTTTCTTGTCGTCACTACACATGTAAATATCGAAACTTGTTTTTTTTCCAGTGATATGCTTGCACTTCGTCAGGAAGCACGATGGTCCAGTTTTCAGCAAAGTCAAAATGAAAGACAATGCTCCCGCGTTGCATGCACTGTTTTTCATCGTAGATCGCTTTACCTTGCGTTTGCCGGATATGGTTGTGAAGTACCCAACTTCCAACCGTCACTTGGATGACTTTTAGGAAAGTCTCAGGTTCCAAAGTTTTTTTCACAAGGTCGCCGGACTCCCATGTTGCAAGCACAATCTCTTCATCCTCCGGGATATCAAGTTCCTGGAGTGTAAGAAACTGGCCTTTTGGGCAGTGATCACAGTCTCCTTGAAGGCACAGTTCTGTTGCTGGGTCGCACAGAAATGCCGAGTTCATTTCACCAGTGTTGAATGTTGAGCCTGTAACGTTCTCTAGAGCGGCAATACAAAGATAATAATTGGCGCAGCGCACACAAACGCACACTTCCTGGTGTGGAATACATTGGACCCATCTAGGGCGCAACGAATAAAATTTCGTTAGCCCAACGCCAGAATCGGGATGCTTGTCTTTGTATATACGGAAGGCCTCTCGTATTGAGCGTGTCATGAAGCGCTTTGGCACGAACGTTTTCTCTCCGTTGAGCATGACAGAGATGACGTCCTTTTGGTTGGGACTTTGGCGCGAACATTGTAGCTCGTCTTTCGTGAAGTACTCCAGGGCAGCAGACAGGTTCTCAGGGCTCACCTTGCACCTCGTGTAAGGATCCGGCTCATACCACACGCCATGCTTTTCCTTGAGTTTTCGGGATTTACTGATGAGGTACATTGAGGCCTGTGGAATCATCTTTTGAACCTCATTCTTCGTCAGTGTTGACGGCAGGAATGTAAGCAGTTGACAACGTTCCCGGAGAGAGGTGGCGGTTTCAAAGGCCTGCCGAAAGTTGTCCACCCACTCAGTGCATGTGGGGGGCATGTTGGTTCGGACGACCCCGATGGTGCGTCCCTGTCGTACGCAATACGTAGCCTTGAGCGTATATTCTTGACAGCAACCTGCTCCAGTTCTGTCTGCTTTCTCTTGACATAGGCAGGCCTGTCCCGACTTCTTACGACGCTTGGTTGTCTCAGCGGCGACACATCTGTAGGTAGTATGCTGCGATTTAGATCTTCAATTGCTTCTTCAGCTGGCACAAATATGTCAGGGCACTGCTCTGAGCTTCACATCGAGATCTCCTTAGTGATGTGCATGAAGCAATGGTAGCACAGGTAGTCCGTCGCACTCACTTTGGTGGAACAGTCAGGCGGAAGAATTTGCTTCAACGAGTTTAGGTCCAACTCGCCAACACTTCGAAAATTCCGGTGCTTTGGTATAGTCTTTTTGTGTTTGCAAAAGTAATCTGCACAAAACACTCGTTCGGAGCTCCAGGACGTCTTCATAATGTATACATAAATAATAGAAATTAAACCCCAACTGATGGTATATAATTGCCAAGTGAAAGAACTACTGGGTGCACAAGTGACAAGTCCGAGGCTGAGGAGCTCACTCACTGCAAACGTACATTTGAAAAGAGAGGTCACAACTGAGGCTGTCGGCAAAGCTTGATCCACGTCAAAGGAAGAAAGAGGGAAAGTCTCCAGACAAAAAACATTGTGGTCAGCGGCCTTCGAAAAAGACTTTCCGGAATCGCACTGTCGTCCCTCCACGCGCTGATATGAAAGCACCCGAGCTTCTACCACGTGGTTCATGACACAGCCTGAGCCATGTCGGCGACCGGTTCGCGAGGGGTTGGCGGTGGGGTTACGTTGATGGTCACTCGGATTAGCCCTTGCTGTACTGAGCTACCGCCTGCAGTGCCTTATCGCCGGCTGGTGTCAACAACGAGAACACACACACCCTGTCTACTCCAAAACTACAAGCGTTCACCGCACACGCGTCGCCGCCGCTTTTAAGCTTTTGTGAAATTGCTTTCTTTTGCCGCGGAGAACCGCCTTATCTTAACTACGCGCCTGAAATCCTTCCAGGCGGGCGTACACAATATCAAGCGTTTTGAGAAATGCCCGTGGAGTAGAACTATGGGAAAATTCGGAGCCCGCGATGTCGATATCGTCGCCGTTGTGTTAGTACGCCGTCGCGTACTGCAGTCCCCCGTTGGGGGAGGGGGGGGGGGGGGTCTTACTACGATAACATGGCGACAGCGTTTACACTCTATGTATTTACGCGAGGCTCGAGTATTTGGGGATAATGCTGCCGGTTGGTGTGCCCCTTTGTGCCTGATATTATCGCCCGTGACGCCAGCGAGTGAGATGGCGACAGGCATGACTGCTCAGTAAACAGGCGTCGGCGGCCATGTTTTGCTGGTTGAAGCGAACCCCCTTGTCCTTGACAGCGAGCGGGGAAATGCGAAAAAAAAAAAATTGTATCGGCCGTTTTGCCAGAACTAGCGACGAGTGTCGTCTGCGGTTTCCGGCAACTATTTTGCCATAATCGTGAGCTTAGCGAGGAAATGATTTTTGCTAGCCACAGAACACTACCACGCAGAAAGGGAATGCTTGAACATGTTTTTGTTCTGGATATATGTCAGGGATATATATGAGAGAAAGAGAGAGAGAGAGATGAAGGTAGAGCGGAAGAGGGAATAGCATATAGTGTCGCAGGAGAATAAAGTAAACAAAGTTCCTAGTGGCCGATGGCTGCATGATCTTTTCTCGGATCACTAGTCCGTAATATGATACCTCTTTGTACACAGTAGTTTCTCCTTAATTTAAGTGTGTGAACGATTTCTTTAGTTATCATTGGCCTCATCTGAATAAAAATATATAAAAGATGTGTGTTGGTTTCATGAAACTGGAACTCAGAGTCAGTTCTTGTATAAAACACTGCTAAGTGTAGGCTTTGAAAAAGGACCCTACTTTGGGGAGTTGTATCTTCTTTCTCAATAAAATGATGCAACATGTTCTTAATGGAAATGAATGCCGAAATAGAGTATAACAGGTTACCTAAATTTAAAAAAAAATCGAGGGTGGTGTTTTTTTTTATTCGCATCGGAATTTTTCTTTGTTTGATTTTTTTTCCATGTTTGACTAAATATATCCTAACTATTGTATCACACAGATACCTTAGTTATTTTTTAAATATTAGCTATATATTAGTAGAATAATATCTGCAAATTATATCATAATGATTAAATTATTTCATGAGATACAGACCTCCAAAGTTTGCCATTTGTCGTTCGAGCAGGCATGTTTGTCAATTTTTAGAAAAATAAATAAATTTTAAATAAATAGGATTACTTTATATTACAAGCAAGCTATACCCATAGTTTGCGCCTAAAACGTGTTAGAGTTCTCCTAATGTTATCGCTTTAGTTATTCACTCTCAAACGGGCCCCCTCCATCAGTGCGCGTTAATGCAACTGTCCACCACCTCATGCCTTACGATTTTTCCTGTCCCCAAGTATTTTTTCTAGTCAAAACTAAGTTTGGATTCGTTCATACCAGACACTAGACAATAACATATAAAAACATCAGTTGATTTGAAAATGTCGACTAGCCATCCTTTGGTCGATCTTATCTGAAATCACCCAGTAACGAATTCATTTTGAATCTAGAGTCGAACGACTTAACTAACTTAACGAAGTACGGCATTCGTTACGACTAACGTACTTAGTTAATTTTTGAGCGAGAAACGAGAACGGTATTTAGTCACTTTTTCGGTTACATTTCTCCTGAACATCTACAGAAACTGGCAGTTTAGCAAGAGACGGATGCTGGATTCTTCTAGCTAACATTATCCACGATAGTATGCCCTTCACTGGGCAGCATCCTAAATGCCCTCTAAATCAAGTCTCTAGAAAAAAAACCGGAAAACTTCGCGTTTAGTTTAGAAGATTAAGTCATCTTCCTAAATCCATCCTTCCGTCCGTTTTATAGTTGACTATTTGGTTTTCTTTAAGCACTGTTTAAACGTTTATACTGTGTGCTTTCTTTTGTTTTACATTGAACGATCAATGTGCGGCCTTGTCATCGCTGCATGGATGTCAGCTGCCGTACTGCCACTTTCTGTCTAAACCACTGTCTCCACACAACAAGCGCCGGTCAGCCTTTCGGTGCATTGGCATTTACTACATTGAATTGGATTTTGTCTATTCAAAGTTATGACCCTTCTCTATTGTTTCCCTACTCACCTTGCCACTCAATGGGATAGCATCGGAAGCAGTTTATGTTCAACGTTCCCGAGTCTGGAATGTAGAGGGCCACCTTCCGCAATACCCCGCCTGCAGCCGGGGAGAGGAGGTTAGTGCTCACGTAGCCGTGACACGCCTTCAGCCACGTTCTAAACGTGAATTCCACTGGTCATTTTGGAGCGCGCCGGGATCGACTTTTCTGGAGCGCGCCTAATTTACCGGACGATCGTGATCGAGACGGACGTGTTCCACTCGTTGTTTTGGATCACTTCACGTTCCAGATCTCGGTCTTGATTTGATAAATGACGCTGCGTCGATTTCAGCGGATTCGACCGGAAGCCAGCCTGGCCAGCCCTCGGCGCGCACACGTGACTTCCTTTCTTCCCGGCCATCTCGCCAGGGCGCTTATAGCTGCTTCCTCACGGGGTAAAACTATGGGGCGAATCCGGGCCGCTTGGTTGGCCTTTTTTGACGCACATCACAAATGCGCGCGCGCGCCGCCGGCGTGTTAAAATGGGCGCCAGTGTTTCACGCGTACACAGATGTCGCCTCGAGAGATTTAGACGCTTTTAGCGCTCCACCTTGCGGTGTTGGGGGTTGTATTCGCCGCCAAAACTAGCCTCCTTTTATTTATCGTGAAATGTCGTCAGCTGCGCCCATCGTGTCGCCATACACTATCGCCGCGAAGATCCCGGAGGAGTGGTTCCATGGGGATCCGGAGGCGCAGCGACTCCGTTCAGATCGCGTGCTCCATCTCGGGTCCGGTCTACTGATCCCGGTGAGCTCCATAACGACCTGTGGAATTCGCCATAAGTTTGGCGTGTCAGCGCTGTTCAGAGTAAAAGGTTGTTTGCGGAGATTCCTGTGATCTCCCTTCGCCGATGGCTGTGATAACGGCCGCGGGTCGGAACGCTCGGCCTCCTTCGTCGAGAACTCCGACCTGTTTTTGAAGCCCTTCCCCCTCACTCTTTCCTAGGGGAGCCTCTTCCGTTCCCCCCGCTCGGACGCGGTCAGTCACGACCGACAGGCGAGGAGGTTTCGCCTCTTCTTTTCCAGCTTTTGGGAAAGAGACTCGTTCAGAAGCCGCGACAGGAATTCGGACGTGTTATCGGGGACCTCCCGGGTGCTTCCCCGATCTTGACTCTTCGGAACCCCGTGGACGGAGACATTATACAGTTATATTAGGGATGTGTCTAAAAAACGCTCTTCTGTCCTTACTCTGGTACACGTGTCTTCTGCTATATTCGAGAGAGAAGCAAGGTAGGGATCATCAAGACCGACAAAGTTTTTTTGTTTTTGTTTTTTCGATCCGACAAGCGATTAGGTAGCCTAAACGTCGTTAATATTGTCGCGGGGATGCGGAACGGCGCTACTAGGTTTGGCGTCAACTTTGAGGTCGCCGTTGCTTCTAAAATAACCCTTTGGATACTCTATCAGTACCTGTATTATTAGCTAAACAAAGAACAGATCGCTCCAAGTATAACCTCGTGCCTACAAGTCCTATGGTTGAAGGGATAACCCTTCAACTCGCAGCCAGAACAATTGCGGCTACGCAATCTGGAGCCGATTACATGGCGCCAATGTTGATCATAGCCACGCGCTGGGGTTGGCGAAGCACAGGACACGCGCTGAGCTTCAAACATTGTTATGGTTCGGCTATTGTCGTCATTGCAGCTATTCCACACGGGCCACTGCCCGAACGCTTCTCGAGCTATCGATTATCATGAGCCCAAATCGAGTGCGCACGCAATGCTCGGGTTCAACCTATGAGTCGCATTCAAACATCGTCACTGGGGGATACTGCGATCTCCCAGCTGTCATCAAGTTTTGCGAAAAAAAATATTAAAAAACAAGAAAAGAACGCTTGTTCTTGTCCCTGAAATGACACCGCAACAAAGGAGGTTGGTGTTGAGTCGTTTACCCGCAGTCTCGGTTTTTTTTCAACCATGTGCAATGTACACCAGCTCGTTTGCGCCGTTACATTTTGTTCATGAGGTTGGTTCTTGGTCGGTTGCATTGCGTGCGAGTATAATTGAGTCCCACTAGTGCCAGCAAGCTCGTGTAAAGTGAAAAACATTCCAAGCGAGTATCGTTACACGGCCCCTTTTAGGATGAGACAGAGTATAGGCTGCATTAACATGGACTACATTTACATGAATGCGATCGTACCGCATCGAATCTTGATTTCACTATTTTGATTGGACGTAGATGAGTAGAAGAGAAAGAAGTGGAGAGACATGCTGCGTGTGATTGGTCCCTGCTGGATTCGACGATCGCAATCATGTAAACGCGGCCATGGACAAAGATGTCACTGCGCAGAAGGCAAGCATTGGACAGGTGTAAAGGGACGGTTTAGATATTTTTCTTTATGTTTTACACAGTTTAGATACGGAATATCGGTAGATGATCACTGTGCGCAAATTCATATAAATAGAACGTTTTCAGTTCCCCGAAGAGGGCGCACGTTCCTTTCAGAAGAGGTGAACATAATGGATGATCGGTATCAAACGTATACCGACGTACGGCGCTCCGCCCAGTAGCAAGCAAAATCGGCTACCGCTAGAGTAAACAATGCTTTACACAGAAGAAGAGCAAAGACATCTGATCCCTTTCCCAGGAAAACAAAAGAATAAACACCGTAAACAAAAATAAAACATTAACTAGAACAAAACAAGACGAGCGAGTGCGGAGAACGATATTTCAAGTCGGTCGGGTCATCATAGAGCAGACTCGTAATGAAAGCACGCAAACCAGATACCTAAGGCAGATTTCGATTCGGCAACACACGCTCAAAATCGACCACGCAAAGAGTTAAAATACCAAAACATAAAGGTGATTCTATCGATTCTACGCAGAAGGATGGCGGGAAAGGAAAGGGAGAGAGCACCAGCGCGATCAAGTTTATTTCTCCCTTAATGAGAAACAGGGGCACGCCATCATCTCAAGTATTGAGAGGACTGTTTGCCGTCGGTACGGCTGCCGCACTTAATAAGTGCAGGATGAGTGTGGGGCTTATAATGAACTTGATGCGTTTTGATTATCATCTTTTGCCTTTCGCGGTACTTATTTTAGATGTTGATCTTTTCTTCTTTTTTTTTTTTTTTGATCGCCAGTTTTGTTAAGAGAGGACGGAGCACGTGAGCTTGGACACAAGTAAACGGGTGTATATGTGTTCTTCGTGCAGCCACTGTCGCGCGAGGCTGGTTAGAGAATGCAGGTATGGTTAGCCGTATACTGTAGCGAACGCTAATAAGCAACGGTTCCGAGCAACGATGCTTGAGCCAATTTGAAAGCGTAAAATGTTTGTCGCTGCAATTATCTGAAGCTTCCTAGCTGAAATCGCGGAAAAGTGCTTTCCATCCTTCAGAGATATTAAGAGTCCGCGACAGAACGAATCGATATCACCTGAGCTGGTGCCGCATTGAAAGCTGAGGAAGTCGCATTTCCGAATTCCAACGACCGCCAATTACGTGCGCGCTCTTCACGAAGCACAAAAATGGCGGCGCCGCAAGATAATCGGAAAATGAAGTGCCGATACTTTAAGCGTAGCTTGACCGGTGGCTTCAGTGGAGACAAAGATCTCGACATCCAGTCTTATGGTACAATTCGCCGGTGGACTTGCTGTTGTTATGAGCGCACAAGCGCGAGCTTTGGCCTCTTCCGATCGCCTCTTGCACTTTCAAGGTCACCATCGCGTGTTCCCATAACTAAACGATGTCTAAACCTGCATTGCCGCATCGCGAAAACAGTACGAAGAGGAGAAAATATGACGGCGTCGCTTATCACATACAATGTATTTATCAAAAAACAATTCCATCACTCATAAAAAACAAAACAAAAATCGAGATGGTGCAGTTGCGTTCCGTCGGCACTCGCTGGACAAGGGATAGTTGACGACTGTACACGCAGCCCTCGAGAAATTAAAACCACTCTCGGGGCGCTGGCTGCTCGCAGGATTTCGATGAAACGAAGAATTTAGCCGCGGGGTAACACTGCTTATACATCCTACAAAATACAGTCTGCATAAAGGTTCGAATGCAAATCACCACGAGTTCCGTGCTTCGAATGCCGCACGGCAACAAGTTCCAGGAGAAACTAGGCACGCTGCATTCGAACCACGGATATCGCGGTGACTGATGTCTGCATAGCTGCCTTTTGTGTAATGTATGCGTAGTGTGACCCCGGCTTTTAGTGAGCGGAGAAGGGTGCACAAACCACGTACCTTGATTTTGTTGGAATTCGGTGATGCCGACGCGGTCGCTGCCGAAGAACGACAGAGGCCCCTGCATGAAGAATTTTGGTAACCACCTCAGTTTGAACCGAATGTCCGTGTGACATTCGATCACCGCTACTTGAGTTACTAGTGAGAGCTTAACAGAGGCGGGGCGTGGTGAGTCCCAGTCGCTCCCCAGCCAATGGTATTGCCGTATTAGTCGATAAGAATGAACGTCAAACGGCGAAGAGCCAATCACGAAACAAAGAAAGCATTCCTTAAACTGTCGGTGATTGCAGCGTTATATTCGGGCGAAATTTCGGTTTTCTGCCGTGATAATTTATTTAGGAGGTCCGAAAAATAGGCAAATCGCATTTCCCTGATTGGACCCTGCCAATTTATGTACGGCGCGAACACCCGGAGAGTAAACTCTAAAGTAGTTGAACAAACCTACACTTTCGATAATTTTTTATACTATCCAGTCAATGGTTACAATGAATAATTTCACGACAGGGTTTATTGTTTGTCGATGGTTTTACGGTGCTTTTCAGGTCGTTCCTTGATAATTAATACTAGTTTCACGATACTTGCTGGGGGAACTTTTGAGTTCCTTTGTAGTTTCTCAACATTAATTTCCATATCATTGCCATAAGCCGTTATCAATGCAAGCAAAAAAGCGCCGAAAAAATACAGGGACACAGACGAAGGGAAACAGGACAAGGCGCACTCTCAACTGATGTTTATTGAAAAATTCACACGTTATATAGCCACACACACACACACACAAAAAAAAGAATCATTTCTTTTCTATCTACTCAGCCCGCGTTTCAAAAATTCAAACTCATTTGTAGATAAGGATACCGACGTGTCACTTATACAATTCTTGTCTCTGGTCCTAATTGCATACGCCTCGTGTAATTCCCGCGACACTTTATCTTTGTATCTAGCCAAAATCTTGGTGTCATTGAAGGCCGGGGTGCAAGAGCATCTATTGCAATGAATTGCAAGGTGCCCCGAAGGCGTCGCATCGGCTTTATGTGCAAAGAAAAGGCGTTTGCATCGGGTCCAGTGTTGCACCTGTTTTGTGTGACATTTTTCTAGGCAGCTGTGGAAAAAACATCGCTTTGAACATTTCGAACGATGACAATGTGAAGATCTTCAGATACGTCGACGATTTCCTCATCCTTAGCCGCTCGGCGGGGCCCCCTTGCAGTGAAGTCTCTCAGTTGCTAGACGTGTTTAAATTGTGTTGCTCCGGTTTGACATTCACGCATGAGTTACAAAAAGAAAGCAAACTGCAATTCTTGGACCTCGAGCTGTCGTTTTTTGGGGACCATGTTTGTTGGAAGTACGCGCCTCGAACTAGGAAGGGCATCCTTCCTTTTGATTCCGCCCACTCGAAGGTAGTGAAAAGGGGCATAGCCAGTTCGTGCCGGGGGGCTTCTCTCAGAAAGTCATGTTTGCACAGTGCGCAAGGCAGCTTCGAGGGTCAGATAGAACGCCTGCAGAGGGCTGGTTTTCCGTTGAGAGCTTTGGTTGAAGTGGCAGAAAGCTTAATCAAAAAGATTAAAGGTAATCGGAAATCAAACAGCGATAGACCGACCACGAGGCCTGTTGTCATTCCATATATGCACAATGTAACGCACAATCTGAAAAAGGTAGCCCAGCGCTACAATGTACCGGTAGCTTTTTCAGCACCCAATAAGATGGCGCGACTTTGTCGCCAGATCAATTCACCACAGCCATCTTCAGATCCCTGCACTACCAAACATCGAAATAAGTACGTTGAATGTGCCACTGGCGTCGTCTATGAAATCCCCATGACGTGTGGGATGACATACGTGGGCCAGACGGGCAGGTGCGTTAATGATCGCACCCGAGAGCACGCTGCCTCTACAAGAACGACGCCTTCGGGGCACCTTGCAATTCATTGCAATAGATGCTCTTGCACCCCGGCCTTCAATGACACCAAGATTTTGGCTAGATACAAAGATAAAGTGTCGCGGGAATTACACGAGGCGTATGCAATTAGGACCAGAGACAAGAATTGTATAAGTGACACGTCGGTATCCTTATCTACAAATGAGTTTGAATTTTTGAAACGCGGGCTGAGTAGATAGAAAAGAAATGATTCTTTTTTTTGTGTGTGTGTGTGTGTGGCTATATAACGTGTGAATTTTTCAATAAACATCAGTTGAGAGTGCGCCTTGTCCTGTTTCCCTTCGTCTGTGTCCCTGTATTTTTTCGGCGCTTTTTTGCTTGCAATGAACCAACTGGCCCAAATCTCCACTTTACTGCGTTATCAATGGTATTATGATTGTTGAGTATAATTTTATATTGATAGTTTTACGCTGGTCGACTCTCTATATACTGTCGACAGTTTCCCGATAGTATACTGTTGCCATCTTTACTATATTGGATTATTGGCGGTACTATCAACAGATTTGTACTATGAATAGTTAGGTATGATTTGCACTATCGGTAGTTGTGGTACTAGACATATTACCAGTAGCCGTGGCCGGCATCGTTCTATTTGAAAACGTTGCATTGCAGAGTGTGATCTGATAAGTGTGCCGATAATAATCCTTGGAGAAGGGGAACAAGGGAGACAACGGACAGACACATATGTCCAAACACAACTAGGTGACTAATGCGCGACTGAAAAACAAATCCGCCTGGTCCCAGGGGGAGATCCAAAGGGGGGGGGGGGGGGGGGGGGAAGCGACGGCTCGGCCGCCCCCCCCCCTTTCCCAAATACAGTCGACCCCCCCCCCCCCCTTCCCCCTTCTCGGAGGGCACTTCGACATGGGTGGACCTCCCGGTGCACAGAAAGAATGGAAGAATAGTATTCTTAGAAATGTTACCGCCGCCCCCCCCCCCCCCCCCGCCCCCCAAAACGGAGTTCTGGATCCGCCCCTGCCTGGTCCTGGTGTCAAACCAGGGACCTCTCCATTTCCCATGGAGTGATCTACCAACTGAGCTAACCAGGAGTTAGACGCCAATTGAGCAAACGGGTTTTAACAGCTCCCACGAGTCTCACATCAACAAGAGTGAACTTCCTGCATTTTAAGGTTATGATGATAATGCAAAGGTGCAAGCGAGCTGGACAAGAATAACGATAATTCACGGAGAAAGAAAACAAGAGGGACAAAGGACAAACCCAAATCTCCAAACACGACTACGTGACTGGTGCGCGATCGGAAAAAAAATCTCCCTTGTCCAGCTCGCCTGTACCTTTACATTAATTGCATTTTTATCATGGCCTTAAAACACAAGCCGTTCACCCTTGCTGGTGTTAGACTGATGGCAGCTGTTAAAACCCATTTGCTCTACGTACGTCACACTCTTGGTTAGCTCAGTTGGTTAGCGCCACTGGAAATGGAGAGGTCCATGGTTCGATACTAGGACAAAGCGTATTTTGTTTTAGTCGCGCACTAGTCACTTAGCTGTGTTTGGAGATTTGTGTTTGTCATTTGTCCCCGTTGTTCCCCTTCCCCAGGGATTATCATCGTTATTCTTGTCCAGCTCACTTGCACCTATGCATTAATTGCATTATCATGATAAGTGTGGCCGTGAACTCCTATAGCGTTGTCGAAGACTATAGAGATGGCGCTGGACAAATTAATGATTGCGACTATACGTTCTGTAATGGGCACCATTTCGCTGAACCGAGCCTACGACATACCCACCTCACCCTAATAAATTTCCCCTCTACATTCCGTCTCCTGTAATTCTACTAAAACTCGTTACTGCTACCGCAATACGTTCAGTGATGATGAATAAGTCATCTTAACATCTCCTATTCGTTCGGAAACAACTCTGGAGACCCACTCAGGATCTGCATACATGTCAGTCAGGTATTAGAGCTTAGAGGGCGGTGCGTTTTGTTCGCCAAGGGATGAATGCGATAATCCCAGGTGGTTGGACTAACGTTTGATTCCAGATGGTACCCACGGGACCGTAACCATTCAAGAGAATTTAAGTGGCTGAAAAACCGCCCTCCTGATACTGAGTTCACTGCCCTAATTCCCCAGAGGTATGCCGTAGAAAACGCTTTAAAACGAGATATGAAACTTCATGGTGTAGTCATTAAGGCACCAAAGATATTCAAGACAATCGCTTTTGTGTATCCTTGCTGTAAATATTTTTTCCTGGTTTCTTAACGTCGAAAATTCCGGGCTCAACTGTCTCCGTATTATTACTTTACTCATTATTTTTTTTATTCACTGTCGTTTTTATTTTAATAAAAATATGATTGGAAGTTACAAACTAGACATTAAAAGGAAGTTTTCAAGCACGTCTCTTTATACTTTGAGCACCCCCTGAGCGATAAGTAATATATACGTTTAATTACCTCGTTGTTATTGTAATGCTTGGACGTAAAATGCAAAACGCCCTAGCGTAAATATTATCACCGCATGACACAGATAACAGCCGCCTGGTTTTATATGCTTCGTGCCTAAACATGTTACAGTTGCTACGAGATAAATTAATCTTTTCTAATTTCCTTACTAGCGTAAAAATAATATTTTATATAATTTTCCCTGTAGCCAATTCTCGTTGGCGCCAAAACGCGCAGTCGATGGCATTCGAAGCTCCTAATCACAATATAATTATAGTATTACACCCCACTTTCTCATTCCAGAACTGCGTATTGGACCTGGAGACACTTTCTGCTCGCGTCCAACGTAAACAGGATGCCGAAGGAGGTGGCTTAACAAGTAATTATACGTGAATGTCGTGCTTCGACCTCCGATTCAAGGTCTTTTGTTTGCAAGGCGGCGAATCGGTTTCTTTTTTGTTAGCTCGAACGTTTAAGTTTGTTTTCTCTTTTATCTTTTTGCGCATCAGAGTTAATAGACGCCCCAAGAGTGAGCACAGGACTGCAATGATTAGATTATACTTAATGCCACTAAATAAGCTACGCTCTTAGTGCTCCAAATAATTGTTGCCAATTATCTTAAGCGTTTATCTGAAACCCATAAACAATTATTTTTGTCCTTCAGAAATGTTTAAACAGTCCGCGACAGAGTGAAACGATAAAGCCTGAGCTTCCTGACAGCCTACTGAAGCGCAGGGACCGCACTTCTGCACTAAGCCCCAAAAATGGCGGCGCCCATTAGAGATTATACGGACGGTGTGCCGATACTTTAAGCAAATACTTTACTAGGGGTAGTGCATTCCACTCGTCTCAAATACAATAGCCTTGGCGCGGACAGGTTTTCTAGGCTTGGCGAGAGCCATCTATCGTCGGGGAGGTCTCGGCTATCGATGATATTCATGTTCTACATACCAAATTCATTGTTGTGGAGATGCGCGAGACACGTGCCGCGCGCCACTTCTAAGAATAACACGGCGTCTAAACTCTAGCTCACTGGTGCGCTAAATACTTTGCTGCGCTGTGCCGCCATGACCTTCCAAGGGTCGCACGTTCCACCGTGCATCGACGCACCTTGCGCTACTTTTGAAACATGAAGGGGCTTTAGGTGAAATCAGAGACGACACCGCCGCGGCCGCCGCCGCGGCCGCCGCGACCATCCACGTGCACTTGCCGAATCCAGCCGTCAGGGCTGGATTCGGCGCTGTAGGCGTTCTGTCTAATGCAAATGAGCAGAGTGGAATATATTCCCCTTAGTAAAGTATTTGCTTTAAGCTCAGTCAATACTCCGCTCGCCCTTAAGTTGAGACCAGATGCTCCGCTTTCGGCGCGCGAGCTTTGTGCCTTTGCCGAAACAAGTGGGAACGCGCAGGCAAGCGCAACCAAAGCACTGCGGAAGCCAGCGAGCTCGCGCTGAAGGCGGAGAGTCTAGTGGCATTGGTTATGCCGCACTCAAGGCGCGGTGGAAGAAGTGAGGTGTCCTCGTCATGGACGGCACGCGTTGAAGGTTCGCCGCATTTCTAGCAAACGCCGTGAGATGCGCAACGCAACTAGGGGCTTGAGGAACCGTCCCTATATTCGCGCACAAGTTTTCAAGGCAGCGCGGCGCGCGACCGCGCATGCGCAAGGCCCCTAAAATGACAGCGACCCCTGCCGGGAAACGCGCGAAACCCGAGTGAAACTTCGGCCCCTTCTCTGGCCTTGTTGGGTCACCTGTCTCTTCTTCCACCTTGCTCGAACAACACCGCCTAAAGGACAAGGCCGGAGCATGACGTCACCGTTAGTGGATCATCGTTAGTGGAAGCGGCAAACACGCGCCGCTCTTTGTGAAACGCTCGATGGGACGCGCTGGCTATGGTGCTAAGGCAAGCTAGGTGGTACTACTGTCTTCTGGGTGGCATGGCTCGAAGGTGCAAAGCCGCTTCGTGTGCGGCGCTTTGGCGCAAGCTGAGAGAGAGCCCGGGGGTGCCGAGCGTTACCGAAATGCCGTTGAAGCGGAGCTGCGACACGATCTTGTCGAAGAAGTTGGCCATGCGACGCATCTGCTTGGGCGGTGGAACCGTGGTGGCGTTCCAGCCGTAGCGCCCTCCCGCAATGTCCGGAAAAAGGTTCTCGTAGCGGAAGTCGGACAGGGTCGCGTTCACGCCGGACTGAAACAAAGACACGCATTAAAAGCAGCGCGGCTCTTTTTTTTTATGTATATACATAATGTAACTATTTGTTAATTTGCGCATTCGGTCACATTTTTATTCATCGTGATACACACTGCAAGAAATATGGAGCGTCTGCTTTCCCGGAAAACACTCGGGAGAACCAATCGCCCCAATACACGGAGATAGTTTGTCGATTGTCGATATTAAGCTATGCTTAGAACTAAAACAACAGCAACATCAACAAAAATAAGCAATCTGATATGTGGCACTAAGCGTGATGCTGCATCATACTTAGTTTCGTCATTCGCAGAACGCCTTTGGTTCTCCTAGGTGTTGTACTGGAAAGATTTCTTAGCGTGTTTTTGTCGAAAATGTAGAGTTTGAAAATCACAGAAAGTGTGTCCGGCTACACCGTTATTATTTATATTCATTCATCGATTGCTGAACATCGTTGACTTTTCTTTTTTCAAAAAAGAATATATTAGTTATGTACTTCGTTCATTCGAGCCTATTATGGGAATCTAGTTGCGTAAGTTTGAGTGACAGATTTCTTGATGGCAATATTTTGCCTATGCGGGCAGAAAGTGAGGGAGAGGAGGATACGAGAGGGAGGTCAGAACACCAAGCTCCGATTGGAAGGATTAGTGGGTACACCCAAAGCTGTAGCTGCCTTTGTCTCTACTGCACTCCTGTGATGAAAGCGCCCGTCATACACATGGTTATTTACACACCGATGGACAGAGGTGTGCATTTATTATGTATGGTTGCTGATTTATATCAATCTTTATTTGCGTTTTTATCTCAATAAATAGTTAACTTACCTATGCATTTAAACATACTCATGCTATGAATCACATATATAAACAGTTATAACTATTCGCTTTGGTTCCCTTATTTATTTATTCGCTTATTTAGTTGTCTATTTGCTTCATTTACGGCACGCGATCTAGAGGTCCCTCAGGAGATGCCCCCAAGTCAAGTGTAACCATCTCACCCAAACCACACTCTAAAAAAAGCCCGTGAGTCTGCTTTCCCGCACAACACTCGGAGAGCCAATCACCGCAACTTACGGAGGCAGCTCAGCGAATGGCAATGCCGAAACATATGTTTAGACTACAAAACGCAGTCTAAGTTGTGACATTAAGCAATGCAAGCGTGACGTTTTGCATTGCTTAATGTCACAACTCGGACTGCGTTTTTTGGTCTAAACAGATGTTTCGGGCAATGTCATTCGCTGAGCCGCCTCCGTAAGTTGCGGTGATTGGCTCTCCGAGTGTTGTGTGAAAAAGCAGACGCACTGGCTTTTTTTAGAGTGCACCCTTACCTGCACCTACACTCTAAAAAAAACCGTGCGTCTACTTTCCCGCACAACATTCGGAGAGCCAATCACCGCAACTTACGGAGGTAGCTCAGCGGATGACGATGCCGAAACATATGTTTAGACCAAAAAACGCAGTCTGAGTTGTGACATTAAGCAATGCAAAACGTCACGCTTGCATTGCTTAATGCCACAACTCAGGCTTCGTTTTGGAGAGCCAATCACCGCAACCTACGCAGACTGCGTCTCCGTAGGTTGCGGTGATTGGCTCTCCGAGTGTTGCACGGGAAAGGAGACGCATGGGCTTTTCTTAGAGTGTAAGTTAATCTGCTACAACGATAAGGGAAATTCACAATGCAGAAACTAGAAGAGGCAGAAAAAGAAAAGCTTTCAACACACCTACTGGGCTATATGATTATTATGTGTCACCTATTCACCTTTCCGCAAAAAGACAACAACATTCTACTTTTAGCTTGTGTCTGTAGGTTTCATTTGTATCAGTATGTCAAAAATTAGAAATTCCCTTTCACACATATCCTTGGGATTGTTCCCTTGAATTCTTTCGGTGTGTGTATGTGCGTGTGTGTGTGTGTGTGCGCGCGTGTGGGTGTTCGCGCGCTTGCGTGTTTGTACGTGTAGGTGAGTGAGTTTGTTTGTATGTGCGTGCGTGAGTTTGTGTTTCTGTGTGGGTTTGCGTGTGAGGGTATGAGTGGATGAGTTTCTGTGCATGTGTGAATACGTGTGACGGAGTGTGTTTGTGTGTATTTGTGTGTGTGTGTTTTGGCATGCCAAGTGTACAATTTTAATGCGTGTATGAGAAAAGTAGGATGATCCCTTTTTTTAGTTTTGGCGACTTTGAAAAATACGAAGTAGCTAAGTTTGAGGCGTTCTCTCCTTTTTTTTTCTGTTGTCCCTTCCACTTGTTGAGCCTTTCGTCTTTTTCACGCAAGTCTTGGGTTCAGTTACGCCACGGTAATACTGCAACCAAATATCGCTCGCACTAAACTGTTTTTCTTTGGTGGTGGAAAGGGGAAGGGAAGAGGGAAGGGGGGCTGTCTCACCTTCTTCCAGAGTTGGTCGGCCGCCCGCAGCGCCAGCGCCACCGTCCAGACGGCATCGTAGGCCTCCGTCACGTGACCTCCGTAGGTAGCCGAAGACCCGGGCGTCTGGGCTTCCAGCTCGGCGGTCAGCTCCTTTCGGAAGTCGTCCATTCTCTGCCCAATTTGCGAACTAATTAGCGTCGATTAGCGCGCCGCCGATCCGGGGGACCCAATCACGCAAATCCACAGCCGTCCCAGGACGACACTAATGCAACCGGATGGGACAACCTCCGCCCTAATAATCCCGGACTGGACTGAATTTGGGGAGGATTCCGCGGCGGGGAGTTCTTGCGCCGAGCGTCTTCGACGGATCTGGTCTCTTAATGCCTGATTAGCCTTTATTAGGGACGATAAAACGAGGTTAGCGCGTCTAGGGATATCGCGTCTCTAGACGCGCACCGCCCGTTTTCCCCTGAGTCTCCGCCCGAGGCGAGCGCGGGGGTTAGGCTGACTACCCCTGGCATAGAGCGTAGAATCACGCACCTACACTGCACGGGATCGGTTTAGCCTAGATTGCAACAAACGAAGGTGGCTAGGGCGCCATGACGATACACTTTTTTTCTTTTTTGCGCGTCTTGATTGGTTTTAACGTGGAACGGAGTATTTACCTGCTATATAGCTCGAAATCTTAAGCCTCATTTTGCAGCGACCCTGTGGATTTCTTAAGACCTTGTATATGAGTAAAGCGGGGCTCACGAGTCCGGACACGCTGGTGTGGTCCGGCAGTCGGCCCGTGTACGCCGACACCGTGATGAGGGACCTAGCGGCCGCCTGGAGCTGTTCGGTGCTGCAGTCGGTGTCGCTCGCGTCCAGCCACCAGGGGCCCAGGCCGCCCTGGATGATCCACTGGAAGTCGGCACCGTACATGCCTTGCCTGTACACCTGGAACCCGCCGCGACAAGGAGACTCGCTTTTATCATTAGGAGGAGACACAGCGTGGTTTAGGTACAAAGATCGCAAGCTACATCGCCGATCAGACACTTCCGTTTCCCGTCTGAAGGAGAATGACATATTGAGTCAGGAAATAGGCGGTCTAAAGGTTCCCCACTTTCTTTAGCAGTTGCGATTGACCGGCTTTCGCATTCGAACGCATTCGGGGAGTGCAATGAAGACAAACGCAGCTACCATTAAGTCTATTCACTAATCGTTCAAACCAGAGCTCGGCGTTCTAACCTTTCCTCGGTCTCTTGTCTCCTTCTCTCTCTCTCATGGCGAATTCCACTGGTCGTTTTGAAGCGCGCCGGGATCAGTAGACCAGATCCGAGATGAAGCACGCGATCCGAACGGATCCCTGAAATCTCCCTTCCGCGGTCCCGGGTCTTGAAGCACATGTTTTCGCAATCGTGGCGCTAACAACAGGTGTTCAACGCTCGAGCGAAGTTAATCATGATGTGAAAGATGTGTCTCGATATGCGATGTGCATCCGCATAGCCGCGTAGCCCACTTGCCTCTTCATAAAAATCCTCGTGGACGGTGTTCAAATACGTCTCGATTTTCGGCCTCTTCGGCGGAGGTCCGAAGATACAGTCTAATTCATGCGGGACATACTACAAGCAATCCTCGTGGTCGATGCTATATACTCGAGCAGCGCGCTGCTGCATGGAGGAGCTGCTCGTGCAAACTTGATGATGAACTGTCACCAAGGAGCAGCAGCAGTAAAGCGGGCGGCACTTTGCGAGCGGCCAGTACGAATTCTTCCGAGGCGAGATGCCCAGCGTGAAGGGGAATCACCTGTGCGCGCCTTGGGCTGGCCAGGCTAGCTTTCGGTTGAATCCGCCGAAATCGGCGAAGCGACTTTTCTTGGATCCGGATCGAGATCTGGTTGGGAGCTGATCCAAAACGGCGAGTGGAACCCGTCCATCTTGATCCCGATCACGGCGCGCTCCAAAACGACCAGTGAAATTCGCCATCAGTTTATCGGCAGATAGACCACAGGAAGCAGGAGCCAGGACACGAGCCGGATCATGACTTCTCGTGCTCTGCTTGCGTAGACCCCCAGTTGGGCTGACCCGAGTGCAGAAACACACTTCTCAAGATGCGTGCCAGTAGTGGCAGCGCAATGAAACTGACTGATTAGATTGGTTTATTGTAACTCGCTAAAAAATCGGCGAGGCGCGATGATTTTTTAACCAGCTAATCCAAACTAATTAGTGAACGAATTGAACCAGTCTAAAGTGCGCACATTGAAATAAGAACGTTTTTAAAAGTTATGCAACCGTGTCTTGTAGCTATGGCTTTTATATGTTCGTCAATGTATGTCTGTTTCAATTTCATTTACCTCTATAGCCCCCCCCCCCCCCCCCCCACACACACACTCTTTACCCCCTCCGTCATATCATCTGTTTCACCTAACAATCTGAAAGCAGGTAAATTTGGTTTGAGCTGATCTGAGTTTAACTTATTTTGATACATTAAGAAATCATGGATTCGATGACACCAAAATGCCCCTCCCCAAACTACCAAATATCCCTGGAAGTAATAAAACAAAACTTACCTCGCAGAAAATCTTACGGGCCATGTGTTTTGAGAAGCTACCTATGATGATCCTGCAGTCTCTGCTCTGCAATGAATATAATAAAAATAACTATGGGTCATCACCCTTATTATGTGGCATTGAAAGAACTTTTTTCCCGCCATACAAACAAATATGTACCAGAGTTGTTCTTTTTTTCTTGAAGCCATACACATTTTTCTTTAACAAGCAGAAAAGCAATCAAAGTTGCTTTGATGCGTTCTGTGAAGAATCTAGATCGCCGGTTTTAACAGCCTATGAGAGCGAGCTCGTTCTGAGTCAGGCGTGTGGACCGTAATAAAGCACGTTTCAATAACAACATGGGCTGTGAACAGCGCACTCAAGTATCGCATTCATGCGGTGCACATTACAACCCGCATACTCATCACGACTCGATATCAGCCAAAGACGCTGCGCTGCACCAACCTGCGTAGAAGATTTCCGAAACAAAGCAAGGGTAGCGCAGCAGCAAGGCTTACCCAGCTAGAGGTAATGCTAGTTAGTTTTGCTCAGAGAACCTCGCGAGAAGACACGAAGTAGGCCTAGCTGACAGCACTATACGACGTGAATGTTGGAGCAATCAGGTGGAAAGTCGTGTATGTTTGAACACGATGTTCTCCACTCGGTGCCCGGAGGGCACTGAAGCGTCCGCGTTGAACACTTCGAGTTGCGTTGTGTTTGCGCCATTTTTTTGCGTAACGTGTTTACGTTAATCGAAGAGATCGATCGTTGCCTGCACCGAGCGAAAGGGACAAACATCGAACACACGGAGGGTTTGGTCAATTTTCGCCACGTTATATTGAAGGAAGAACGCAAATATTCGCTTTGGCAGGTCTTGGACGGGCAATGATTCGTTCAAAAAGAGAAAAATTTATTTATAGACAACTATTGACGACCGACCGGGGGGGGGGGGGGGGGGGGGGGGGTGTCTGCCGGCGCTACGTGATGGAAACTGGCTCTACAAAGTGAGCAAGTGTGTGTTACTGGGTAGCGAGATATGTTACACAGAAATACGCTCTGCGTATTACACGCTTGAACTAAATAGTACTGTTGTGTGATAAAAACCTGTATAACACTAACCTCTATTACTGAGTAAAACACTAATCGAAGACGTAATAACACTTATCTTGCGCTGTACTGAATACGTTGTAATACAAACCTGTCTTGCAGAGTAATACGCTCTGTATAATTTGCTCTTGAATCACACGGTAATACGCACTGTACTACACACCTCAATAAACCAGTAATACACGGTACCACAACTTAATACACACTCTAATACAAGGTCTTAGACGCCGTAATAGACACCGTAATATACATATTTGTATTACCCAATAATACAGACTGCACTACAAACACGTCTCAAACAGTAATACAATGTAATACATGCTTACATTACACGGTATCATACAGATACATACTTTGGTGTGCGAGTGCCCAACGCGTTAATTGAAGTACCGTACACCTGTGAAGTAATATTTCACTCTTCACAATTTTGTCATCGTACATCGAAGTACCGATTGAACTGACCTCTTTCGAGACTCGACTCAGTCTCGAAAAATGTCTGCTTCAGTCCGAAACGTCGACGAAAAAAAAAAATGTTTTAAAAACTCCAACAACCGTCTCAAGTGCGTTTTCTGCCGTATAAACTTTTCGTCATCCTGCGCTACGTTTTTTTTTCTCTCTCTCTCTCTCTCCATATATATATAATATATATATATATATAACAAGTTAAGGCATCAAAGTGGCAATGCAGGCGAGTTGGTTCATCGTTACAAAATGGAATCAGCGCGCAAACAACGAAGACACAAGGAAGAGAAATTGACAGGACAAGCGCTGGAACTGCGCTTGTCCTGTCAATTTCTCTTCCTTGTGTCTTCGTTGTTTGCGCGCTGATTCCATTTTGTAACAAGTTAAGGCGTTGACGTGCGCCTCTCATATCCGAATCATATGTCGCACGTTGGTGAGCTGAGGTCGGCGTGGTCGGCGAGAAATAATCTTGTCATCCCTTAGCGAAGGACGGATGATTAAGGAAAAAAAGGAACATAGAGGACTACCTAGAAAAGACACTATACATGGGCGAGAGAATGAGAACGAGTGATGGACGACTTATAGTGACTGAGAAGTTAAAAACGCAGGGTGGGGTTTTTAGTATTACGATCACACTTTGTGATTCGTTCTTTAGCGTTCTCATCAACTGATGCCGCAGTCCGATTGACTGCAGCAACGGATTCCGGACTCTGGTTGGCTGCTAGGGGATAATAAGATGATCGGGTCTTGTCACGCACTTCATTTCTTAAATTCTCAGCGACTGGAGACTGGACGGCATGCGTTGGTTTCAAAACTGAAGGTGCCAAAAAGGCGGGGTCTAAGCGTGTGTAAGCGCCTTCTTCTAGCGCCCCTTTATTTTTTTTATTTGGTGCTTCCAGTTATGTATAAAGCGAGCAAACAGCTAGGAAAAAACAAGCACATAAAAGAGAAAGGGGAAAAAAAAGAAAGAGTAAGAGAGATGGCGCTGAAAACAAGTTGAACTCAATACGGCGCCATTTTTTTCTTTTTGTTCGCTTTTATGGCTTGTTTGACGAAAGCAAACATCAGGAGGCAGTCAACTGAAATGTGTGTTCGTTACTGGGGTTGCCGAAAATAATAATAAAAAGAAGCTCTGCTGGGAAAGGGCGCGGCCAGGCAAACTTTGACTTCTCTCCATAAAGATAATAAAAAAGATCAAACAAAGCAACGGCTAACCCTCCGACCGAACTCGAACGAACGAAGCTAGAGCAGAGGGGAAGGTAGACGAAACAAAGCCAGGCAGACTTACGAGAAGCAGCCACGACAAAGGGAAATAAACCCACGTTCTCGACTATGGTCTCGAGTGCTTTAAACTACCGTTGTTTGTTCTTTTGTCTTCTACGTTCGTCTTATGAACACGCGAACTCGCTCGGGAAACCACACAGATGCAGAGGCAGACGGACAACACACGGGCTATATGCGGACCAGAACAACTAGGGAAATAATGTTAGAAAATGCAAAAGCGAAAGAAAGAATAAGGCGGGACTACGTGAAGTTCATCCAGCGAGCGTTGTTGTTTGCCATGGGCCCGCGGTGTCACTGGGGAATTTCGGTTTGATTTTCGTTTTTGTCCTATTTGTTAGGCTGTTTTGCGTTGGATTATTTCCTAAACTCTGTATATCGACGCGGGCTTGAAAGCCTCGAATACAAAAGAGCTGGAGAACAGTCGAACAATACTACGACTTTCGCGGAGAAATATAGGAGTCGGAGTTGGCGTATATCGCCGCGTGTTGAAGAAATGACGCAAGAAAGGAACGGTGTATCGTCCGTACCGTTCCTAACCTAACGACTTCTAGTAAGT